AATAATAATTTGTTCATTTTTCCCGGTATGAATAATAATTTGTTCATTGTTTTCCATATGGATAATGATTTTGTCATTATTTTCCGTATGAATAATGATTTTGTAATCCATTCCACCGTGAATAATGAGTTTCTCACCCTTCTTCGTACGCGTAATGATTGTATAAAATCTGTTTTTACAGAAAACCAGAAAATTGAAAACGATCAGGCGGACCTGATCACATTTCAAATGACGTTATTTGAAATATATTTAAAACAGCATGTTATTCTGTTTCATAATTATTTCCACGCCTGTGATCACTTTTGAAATAACGTTATTCGAAATACACATTTCTAAATAAAATTTTACTTTATTTTATAATTGTTTCAAATAATTTTTCCAGATAGTTGTGTAAATTCTTCTCGTAAATTATTAACGATTCTGCAAGACCAGCCTGATTATGTAAAATATCTATCCCATAATAAGAAACTCTTTTCTAAAGAATTCACTTTTCTTTCATCTTGCGCACCAGTGGAAAATTTTCTTTCGCAACAATATTAGATGAACCCAGACAAAAATCTCTCAAGAATGAACTTCCCTAAGAAAGAATTTTTTGCCTAAAAGGAAATTGCTGTAAAGATTTTTCAAATAAAAATCTTTTTGTTGCATATTATTTCAAGCATTATATTTTTCGTCATGTTTAAAATAAATAAAATAACGAAATAATTAATTATATTTGAAATTGCTATTATTTCAAATGACTCGATATTATTTTCATTTTAAAATAACAGCATTGATAATGACGCACAGCGTGGTCGAATTGAAGAATTTCGTATAAAAAACGAAGTTTTTGGTATTCACAAATTCGTTCTTGCCGATTTGAAAATCATCAAACATTATTGATTCACTTGGATGTCTTTCTTCATTTGTAAGAACCATAAACAATTAAACTGCAGAAAAATTTTTACCGTCGTCTTTTGAAATCATTTTTCGATGTATAGATTACTATACAATATATGCAATATATATACAGTGGTATATTCAATTGTAACTAATCCCTTGTACATTTTTCCGGGATTTCATGTCTACATTTACATTCTTTACTCATCGATTGATGATACAGTAGAGCCTCTCTTATCTAAACATTTATTTTTGTAATATCCCGATATCAAAACATTCAATTATCTAAAGATCTCATTCAAGTTCTCTATTAGGTAATAATGTATCTAAATAATACAATGCTTAGACGGTAGAACGTTCGGATACTAGAATATTGTAAAAATAAATATTCGGATAAGAGTGTCTCTATTGCATCACCAAACAAGTGGTTCGATATAGAACAACGATTTTCCAATTTTTGTCCACAGTAGGCTGCATTGTGCGACGGTTCGAAATAGATGATTAAAAATAGTTTTTTTTCGTATTAAAAGTTTAACGTCGCATCAACGACTAGATTATTAGCATCTCAAATAGTTATTTCCTATTTCCGTGTCAAATAATGTTTGCCCGCTTCTGACTGGAGTAACAAGTACTAAAGACAGTTCGAATGTTAACGAGAGTCCCCGTAGATCGTTGAAAACTCCGCAGAAAAACGAACAAAACCGATTCCCCTGCACGCTAAAGTGTAGGCATAGGGTAGCAGTCTACCGTGTCCCGGTTTCGAGCCGCGAAAAAAGCGTCGCAGTTGCGGAATCCGCGTACGTCGAACCGGTGCGGACAAGTTCGCGAATAATTCAGCCGG